GCACAGGCTAATACAGTCCTTTCCCAGATTCCAGAGAACAGCTTGTGGTAGCTCTGTTTCATTAAAGGAAGCTTGGCTCTGTTGCAAGAATGGCTTGCTCATTCTACTGATGAATTAGTTGTATTAACGTGCCAGAAACAAAACAACAATTTGGGGATGATTTCTATAAAACTTAGTGTTTCATTCAAATGTGATTAATACAACCAAGATTTTTTGCCCTTGCTACTGTGAAATAACTCAGAGCCAGAGATTGAGTTCATAAGGGCTAATCTTCTGTCCACATTTTAAGAAGTGTACCCATTGATTTTCCTTCCTTTGTGTATTAGTCCATTTTGCATTGCTATAAAGAAATACCTGAAGATTGAGTAATTTATGAAGAAAAGAGATTTATTTTGGCCCACAGTTCAGTAGACTGTACAAGAAGCATAATGCTGGTATCTCCTTCTAGTGACAGCCTCAGGAATCTTACAATCATGGCAGAAGGCAAAGAGGGAGCAGGTGTTTCACATGATGAGAGATGGAGCAATAGAGAGGGAGGGAGGGAGGTCCCAGCCTTTTTAAACAACCAGCTCTCACGTGAACTAGCAGAGTGAGAACTTGCTCATCATCAAGGGCAGGGCATCAAGTCTTTCATGAAGGATCCACTCCCATAACCCAAACACCAGGCCCTACCTCCAGCACTGGGGATTGCATTCTATTTTAGTTCAACATGAGAACTGGGAGGCATAAATATCTAAGCCTTTGGATACTAGTTTTTGAGAGAGCCATAAAAAAGTCTCTTGTTTCTTCAGTTTGAAGGTTTTTTAGTGAGGATCAGAGTATAGAATCTGCCACAGTGGCGAGTAACCTGGGGATGCAGGGTACTCAAGGGATCAACAACTATGCACATTTTGTAACAAAATAGCTGTGAGATAGATACTGACTTTTAAAGTTGCACTGCGGCAGGTCAGAAGCTGTAAACACAGCCTTGTCTTTATACTTTGGGAATCAGTACAGGATTGTGGTTAAATACTCACACACAGGCGTCAGAATGCTTCAAAGTTTTAACACTGCCTCCATCACTTTAGATTCTACTGGGAACTGAAGCTAGATGCTGGAGACTGCTTTTTGCTTCAATTTCTCATCGACCAACCTCACGAATAAATTGAACAACCTAGTTTAACCCTCTTCCCCTTTAGAAAAAAGAGTGCGGCTCACTGCTAGCACTCGTTTAATTTTACATAAACACGCTCTTTGAAGCTGAAGCACATCTGACTGGTTTTCAATGTGAAAATAAAATATAAAAGCTGTTCTTGGAGTTATTTCTAAAAAGAACTAACATCAGAATTGCCTATTTTGGAAAACTTGGGTTCATTAAATGAATCTTTGGCCAACAACTGTTCCAGAATGATAACATCATGTGTAGGAATGCTATATTTTCTAGGATTTGACACTTTTAGCAATCAAGAATTACTGTATTTTGTAAACGGAAATACCACTACTAAAAACAGAATGCTATAGCTGTAATCCCAGCACTTTGAGAGACCAAGGTGGGCAGATCACTTGAGGTCAGGAGTTCAAGAACAGCCTGGCCAACATAATGAAACCCTGTCTCTACTAAAAATACAAAAAATAAGCCGGGCATGGTGATGGGCACCTGTAATCCCGGCTACCCAGGAGGCTGAGGCACGAGAATCACTTGCACCCGGGAGACGGATATTGCAGTGAGCAGAGATCGCACCACGAGGCAACAGAGTGAGACTCTGTCTCAAAAAAAAAAAAAAAAAAAAAAAACCAGAACGCTATAATTAGAATGGTATTTTTTGTTTCCAAAGTCGATATACTAGAGTGATGCAAAAATAATAATAAAAGCAAGACCATTAGTGGTTAAGTTATCCCAGGGTAAATGCTGCAGCTGCTAGCACCGCCGGCAAGTATTCTCGGGGAAAAGGGGAAAGGGTTTTAAGTAAAGCTCCTAATTCAAAGTAAGTGCTCAACAAATGGTAGCTAGTCCACTATCTGCTTAACTGTTAAATGGATATAATAATTACACCTTAGGTGATAATAAAGATTTTGTACTAAATCAGAGGAAATAGCAAGAATGTATCTTATTTAAGTTAATCTTAATTCAAAATGTTAATACACCAATTAATTTTCTTCATAATTCCCACTGTATACTTAGTAGATTGCATTTAAAAAAAAAACAACAACACCATTTAGTGATTTGAAACAGCTGATGTACAGGAAGCTTTCTGAATCAAGCTGACTCAGAAGGTAGCAAAACAACTCAGTGTTTGGGTACAGAACATGATTTCTATTTTAAATATCTTCACCATTCAGACTTCAGTTTCTTTACCAGCCAGGATTTGAAATGGAAGGAGCAAGGAAACTCATCAAATTGCCCTTCTCTGATTCTCATCAAGTGGTGGAGCCAGGGATAAAAAAGACAAATTATTTATTTAGGTTGGTGCAAAAGTATTCCCAGTTTTTGGCGTTACTTTTAATGTAAAAAAAATTACTTTTGCCCCAACCTAATAGATACCCCCAAAATGTATATTTAACTACCTTACTATACTGATTCCCACGTTAGGGATAAAGACAGGTCTGTGCTAGACAGTCTCAATCAGCTACACTCCAGAAAAGCAACACGGTACAGTGGTGAAACGTGTGGTCGCTCAGAGCCTGCTGCCTGAGTATGAATCTAGCTACATGTGCTGCTGTGAAACCTTGGGGAAATTCATCTTTCTGTGCCTGAGCTTCCTTATCTATAAAAGGAGAATGGAAACAGTACCTGCTTATAAATTCACAGGAAGATTACCTGCCTTAATCCATGTAACCTGTTTAGAATGGTGCCTGATTATAAGCAGTTGTTATCTACCTTATTGGGCATATGGAAAATATCCTAAGGTTTTAGATTTTTTTTTCTTCATCTCTTTGTTAATAGATCTAAAGAAACTTGCCTCATTTGCAACACATTTTTTTTTTTTTGTTTTAAAAATCTGGGGATGTACCTTTTATCTCATACACTGACTACTTCAAACACTGCTCATATATGTTTTTGTGGGCTTTTTTTTTCTATTTCATAGGCATTTCCAGGGATTGAAGGAGATATTTCTAAACCAAGTTCTTTCCTTGAGGTCTATAAACATTATTTATCTTTGGGGCAATGGTTCCCAAATCACTAAACTTAAAAAAAGAAAAAACGGTAATAGGAACTGCTTTGTAAGCTGCAGAGAACTGTAAAATAGTAAGGCAAACTCTTACCCAGGGAACTGGAGTTTATCATGGAGCTAGTCTCAGCATTTCGGGCAAAAATTAAAGACAGTTCAAATTACCCCGAAAATCCCTTAGAATACAGGACAGTTCTGTTTTTCAGTAAGTTCACTATAGTCACTTCTTTTCTCCAGTGTTGGAAAAGATCATATTTCTTCCATTGAATACCTGATGATGCAATGCTCTTGTATGTAAGCATCTTTTGTAGGAAAAATATGTACAACATAAACCAAGCATGTTCTATATACCACCTCACTTACTCCTCATAATGACCTTATGAAGTATTATTATTATTCCTCTTTTACCTTTGAAGAACTGAGGCAAAATAAACCACCTGCCAGTGATAACCGGCAGGCAAACTGTGGAACAGAATCTTGATTCCAGTTTTCTTACCATCAAAGCCCCTACTTTCCCTCTACAGCACATTCTGGCTGCCTAGTATTATTGCTACATGGCATTAAGAGATACAAGTTGCCACTTCCTCTGCTCAAGACTGTTTAGTATCTATTGGAGAACACACTGAGCTTTGAGCTCCTCAACTTCAATTCAATACAATACAAAGAAACTGGAGACAGTCCAGAGAAGACTAAGGAACTGGTTTTTCTGAAAGGGTCTCAGGAAGGATTCTGTTTAAGAGTGGAAAGATTTCAAGTGGAATAGAAGGGGCATTACTGAGTTTTAAGTCCATAAATAAGTGATGCAAGGAAGCCGAGGAAGAATCAGCGCTAGCAGTCTTCACTGGTTGCAGCTCTCCTTAAAGATGGGCTGGATGGGTGCCCCACAAAGACATCTTTCTAGCTGGTGATTCTAGGAATCCACCCCCGGACATCACTAATAAATGTGGCAAAGTGAGAGAGATCAGATACACTCAGTTGATTCCTGGAAAGCCTCTATAAAGGGGGAACAGACGTTACTGCCTTCCTCTTGTTTAATGATGAGGAAATGAGACCCAGAGACACAATTCACAGGAAAAGTGACTGTTCAACAGGAATTTTTACTGGCCAGGGAGGCCCAAAGGAGCTGCTGTACATGTGCAGGGTGCCAAGGACACTACTGAGTGACAGAGGACACCACTACCTACATGCCAACTGTCCAGGCCTACCCTCCTGGCCTGGAAGAAGTGTATAGAGGCTGCTTAGTCACCCGAATGAGTGGGTTGATGTGATGGCTGGCGCCAACTATCTGTGGCTACTGGAGAAGCCCATCTCCTCTATAGAAATAGGCCTGTGAATGTGATCAATTACTAAAATTGCCTGGTCCCTAATAAAGTCAGGATCCTTTCTTGTGGCCTTGCTCTTTCTGAAGAGTTCTTTGTCTTTCAATTGCTTTTATCGAATTATATATACAATATAGTTCAAGATAAAAAAGGAAAAAAACAGAAGGTGTAAGAGATAAATATCATTTCTCCTGTAATCCCAGCACTTTGGGAGGCCGAGACGGGTGGATCACGAGGTCGAGAGATCGAGACCATCCCGGTCAACATAATGAACCCCGTCTCTACTAAAAATACAAAAAATTAGCTGGGCATGGTGGCGCGTGCCTGTTATCCCAGCTACTCGGGAGGCTGAGGCAGGAGAATTGCCTGAACCCAGGAGGCGGAGGTTGCGGTGAGCCAAGATCGCGCCATTGCACTCCAGCCTGGGTAACAAGAGCGAAACTCCATCTCAAAAAAAAAAAAAAAAGATACGTATCATTTCTAATATCAAAGATCATATATTTAATATACATAATTTTTCCTTAAGAAACTCATATAGGATTGTGTTTGGAAACGCGGAGAAACTTTCCCGTGTTGCGTAGGTAGCGAGTTGGCGGGTTTGTTGAGGGGCTAACAATGGACACTCAGAAGGACGTTCAACCTCCAAAGCAGCAACCAATGATATATATCTGTGGAGAATGTCACACAGAAAATGAAATAAAATCTAGGGATCCAATCAGATGCAGAGAATGTGGATACAGAATAATGTACAAGAAAAGGACTAAAAGATTGGTCGTTTTTGATGCTCGATGAAACCTGGGAATTCAGCGGAATGTCTTCACTTATACTTAGATTTGCTCTCTCAATGTTTTTAATTGTTGTATAGCTTTCGATTTTGCATACAGTAGTTTCCCCTTATCTTCAGGGGATGCATCCCAAGGCCCCCAGTGGACTCCTGAAACCTCAGATAGTACCAAACCTTTATACACCTTTTTTCTATATATACACACCGATGATAAAGTGTAATGTATAAATTAGGCATAACAAGAGATTAATAAAATAGAACAATGATAACATACTGTAATAAAGTTACATGAATGTGGTTGGTCTTTGTTGCTCTCAAAATACCTTCTTATACAGTGTACAGTACTCACCTATTTTCGAATGTAGTTGACTACAGGTAACTGAAACCACAGAAAGGAAACTTGGAATGAGTGAGGCACTACTGTACTTAGGAATACAACTATATATATATGATTTTATTTTTAAGACCAATTGTATTTACTACTATTTTGTTAAAGCAAGTTTTTGTTCCATTACACGACTTTTTGTTTTACTCTATATGTAATCTGACACACAATTAAGGGTAAAGTTGCTTACCTGAATCACACTTTTAATGAAAACCTAGAATCATCTGCAGTGGTTGTTAAAAATGCAAGTTTCTAGAACCCTTTGAAGTTCTGATTAAATAAATTTATTGGAAACAAAAAAAAAAAAAAGAAACTCATATATATAGTAGTCCTTCATACAGATAATGGTAACAACAATGAAATAAACTCTGTGCCAGATGCTGTGCCAGTGCCTAATTTGCATCATCTTGCTTATAAAAGCCAACCTTGAGAGGAAAATTTGACACTTCCTCCAGTCTGATCCAGTATGGCACTTTTAAGGGGTCAGATACTTTCTTTTTCCTTTCCTTAAAAAAAAAAAAAAAAAAAAAAAAAAAAAAAAGATTTCCCTAGCAAGTAGACTTGGATGGAAATAATAGAAATAAGAAAAAAAATTTTTTAAAGGAAAAAAGAAGCTAAATATCTAATGATGCTTAACATTTAAATCGTTTTATCTTAATTATAGCCTCTGAGGTTGTGGTTAATATTAAAACCTAAGAAAAACCAGTAAAAATTAACATGAATGATAAGCCTCTGATCAGTAAGGCCCCTCTGGGTTCTAATAATCTGAAAATTCAACGGGTGCCCGCCCCGCTTCACCACCAGGCCAGTGGTAAAATTAGCAGCCTGATCTCAGAACTGTTTTTAGAGCTTGTACTTCAGCTGCACTTTGTTTTGATGATCTTCTGTAAGATCTACTGTTCTTTTTAGTTCTGCAATTTTTAGTCTTGCAACTGTTGGGGGTTTTTTGTCTTGTACCTGTTAAATATGATACTGCTACAAACATTCTACTAACATTTATGAAAGGTGTAATTTTTAAAAGGCCAACATGTCTAAACAAAAATATTTTCAACTATAATTTCTTAATAGAATTGTGTTTGAAGCATGCTATAATATGAAAAAATAATAAAAATCTTAAAGTCCTTACAGAGTAATCCACCTTTTCATCTTCTTGTTTCCTCTCACTTTTGTTAGTTTGTATTTCTATTTTTCAGTGACTTCTCCTTTCTCTACTAATTCTGAACATTAATCTCCCCTCTAGAGCTCATATATAATTTATGATTTAAAAATCCCTTTAGGCTATGAATTACTTTTTATTTATTTTATTATTTAATATATTTTGAGACGGTCTCGCTTTGTCACCCAGGCTGAACTACAATGATGCGATCACAGCTCACTGCAGCCTCAGCCTCCCATGCTCAAGCCTCCCACCTCAGCCACTCAAGTAACTGGGACTACAGGCGCACACCACTGCACCCAACTAATTTTTGTGTTTTGTAGAGACGGTTTTGTCATGTTGCCTAGGCTGGTCCCAAACCTCTGAGTTCAAGCACTCCACCCATCTCAACCTCCCATAGTGCTGGGATTCCAGACATGAGCCACTGGTGCCCAGCCAGGCTACTGAATTTCAAAATGTGTTTTCTTAATTAAAACTTTGGCAACAAGCCCTAATACAGGGCTTACTATTATGAGACACTTTTTGCATATTATTTTTTTCTCTTTGTGCTGTGTTTCAATTCCAACTATTACTTATAAGGTAGAAAATTAGACATATTCCATTCAGTATTCCCACATACTAAAGCAACTGCTATATCAGAGTGACTTCATATAGTAGCGAGCGTTGCTGAACTGCATCCCAAAAGGTTTCCTAGTCCCCTGACCAAATCTCCAGCTAAGGTCCTGATGCCTTAAGGCCTGCTGGGCTCCTATCTACCTAAAACATAAAAATGAAAATAAATTGTCACTCTCAGTTCTGGAAGCAGCTCTGACAGGATTGCCACTGACCTGTGTAAAGAGGACAGAAGCACAAGGACTTTCTATGAGCAAGATTGCAGGAAGAGTAAGAAGCTGGATAGAGTCTTTACAATAAGAAGTGAAATGGACTTAGTATTTTAATGAGAGAAAGAGTCAGCTTCTGAGACCAAAAAAGGAGTGGGGCAGATAGATGGACAGTGAAAACAAAAGCAAAAGGGTTAGAAATAAATTTAGTCAGGAAGATACAAGAATGGCACACTGAATATGCAAAACATTGCAGAAAGGAATTAGAGAAGACCTAAATAAAAGTTCATGTATTGGAAGATTTAACACAGCAATACTACCCAAAGGGTTTTATAGATTCTTTATAATTCCTATTAAAATCCTAATGACCCTTTTTAAGACATGGAACAAATCATGACATTCATATGGATTGCAGGGGACCATGAATAATCTTGAAAAAGGAAAAAAAAAAAAGTTGGAAGACTCAATTCCTGATTCCAAAACTTACGAGAGAAAACAAAATTACTAAGTAATCAAAACAGTGCGGTTCTGGCATTAAGGACAGACATATAGGCTGGGCTGTGTGACGGCTTATGCCTGTAATCCCAGCACTTTGGGAGGCTGAGGCAGGTGGATGATGTGAGGTCAGGAGTTCAAAACCAGCCTGGCCAACATGGTGAAACCCCCACTTCTTCTAAAAATACAAAAATTAGCTTGGCATGGTGGTACACACCTGCCCAGCTATTCGGGAGGCTGAGGCCGAAGAATTACTTGAACCCGGGAGGCTGAGGTTGCAGAGAGCTGAGATCACACTATTGCACTCCAGCCTGGGCAAGTGAGACGGTGTCTATAAAAAAAACAGAAAAAAGAATAGACATATAGATCAATATACAGAATAAAATTGAGAGTGCAGAAATAACCCATATATCTATAGTCAGTTGATTTCAATAAGGGTGCCAGTATCACTCCGTGGGAAAAGAACAGACTTTTCAACAAATAGCGCTGAGACAACTGGATATCTACATGCAAAACAATAAAGTTGGCTATATAAAAATATACAAAAACATATCCACAACATATACATAAATTAACTCAAAATGGATCAATGAACTAAATGTGAGATTTTAAACCATAAACTTCTAAAACTCTTACAAGAAAACATAGGGATAAATCTTCATGACCTTGGATTGGGTGATGAATTATTAGATATGACCCGAAAAGAAAGTCAAGCAACAAAAGAAAAAATAGATAAATTAGAAATCAGCGAGATTAAAAGTCTTTTGGGCATCATGTCGAGGCGTGGTGGCTCACTCCTGTAATCATAGCACTTGAGAGGCCAACACAGGTGAATTGCCTGAGCTCAGGAGTTCGAGACCAGCCTGGGCAAAATGGTGACTCCCTGTCTATACTAAAATACCAAAAATCAGCTGGGTGTGGTGGCGTATGCCTGTAGCCCCAGCTACTCAGGGGCTGAGGCACAAGAATTGCTTGAACCCAGGATGCAGAGGTTGCAGTGAGCCGAGATAGTGCCACTGCACTCCAGCCTGGGTGAAAAAGTGAAACTGTCTCCAAAAAACCCCAAACAAAACAAAAAAACATTTGGGCATTCACGATAATGAAAAGACAACCCTCAGAAAGAGAGAAAATACTTGAAAGTTATATATGTTTGTTTGTTTGTTTTTGAGATAGTCTTACTCTATTGCCCAGGCTGGAGTGCAGCGTCATGATCTTGGCTCACTGCAACCTCCACCTCCTGGGTTCAAGTGATTCTCTTGCCTCAGCCTCCTGAGTAGCTGGGATTACAGATGCCTGTCACCACATCTGGCTAATTTTTGTATTTTTAGTATAGATGGGGTTTCACTATGTTAGCCAGGCTGGTCTCGAACTCCTGACCTTCGGTGATCCACCCGCCTGACCTCCCAAAGTGCTGGGATTATAGGCATGAGCCACCTCACCTGGCCAAAAGTCATATATCTGATAGACGCTGTCTGGTATCCAAAATATATAAAGAACTCTTTTTTTTAATTGTACTTTAGGTTCTGGGGTACATGTGCAGATCATGCAGGATTGTTGCATAGGTACATACATGGCAAGGTTGTTTGCTGCCTCCATCCCCCCATCACCTATATCTGGCATTTCTCCCTATAATATCCCTCCCCAACCTTCCCACCCCTACTGTCCCTCCTCTTGCCACCCCCAACAGATCCCAGTGTGTGATGCTCCCCTCCCTGTGTCCATGTGTTCTCATTGTTCAATACCCATCTATGAGTGAGAACATGCGATGTTTCATTTTCTGTTCTTTTGTCAGTTTGCTGAGAATGATGGTTTCCAGATTCATCTATGTCCCTACAGAGAACATGAACTCGTTGTCTATGGCTGTGTAGTATTCTATGGTGCATATGTGCCACATTTTCTTTTTCCAGTCTATCATTGATGGGTATTTGGGTTGGTTCCAGGTCTTTTCTATTGTAAACAATGCCGCTATGAACATACACATGCACGTGTCTTTATAATAGAATGATTTATAATCCTTTGGGTATCTACCCAGTAATGGGATTGCTGGGTCAAATGGAATTTCTATTTCTAGGTCCTTGAGGAAGTGCCACACTGTCTTCCACGATGGTTGAACTAATTTATACTCCCACCAGCACTGCGAAAGTGTTCCTATTTCTCCACATCCTCTCCAGCATCTGTTGTCTCCAGATTTTTCAATGACTGCCCTTCTAACTGGTATGAGATGGTATCTCAATATGGTTTTGATTTGCATTTCTCTAATGACCAGTGATGATGAGCTTTTTTCATATGTTTGTTGGTTTCATATACATCCTCTTTTGAAAAGTGTCTGTTCATATCCTTTGCCCACTTTTGAATGGGTTTGTCTGTTTGTTTTCTTATAAATCTGTCTTGGTTCTTTGTAGATTCTGGATATTAGCCTGTTGTCAGATGGGTAGATTGC